TGCCACCACAGTGATATACTTCTTCCAACAAGGCTACACCTACTTCAGCAAGGCCATACCCACTTCAACAAGGCCAAACTTCCTAATAGTGCCACTCTCTTTGGGATTATGGGTGCCGATTACATTCAAACTACAATAGTCAAATGAATGAGCTTATGGGGCTGCTCTCATTCAAAGCACCATAGTATAGTCAGAAGAGGGCACTGGATCTGCTACAACTACAATTACAGGCAGTTGTTAGCTACCATGCTCATGGGTGCTGGGAATCAAACCTGGGTTATCTGCTAAGTAAAAAGTACTCTTGATAGTCAAACTATCTCTCTAGCCCTGAGGTTATTTAAATTGGGTGATGACTAACCCCCTTGAAGACAGAACATACCAGTGACTCTTCTGAGATGATTAAGAGAGATAGTAAATTTTGTTATTTTGATTTTTTTTTTGAAACATGGTCTTACTATGAAATCTTGAGCTCATAATCCTCCTGCCTCAGTACCCACTGCCCCAAGTACTGGGACTATAGGTGTGCACCATTGTGCCCACCTGTCAATAACATTCTTTAATTTGAAGGAATCAAAAAATATCAACACTTTGATAGAGATTTTTCTCCAGCACCATATATATATATATATATATATATATATATATATATATATCTCCAAACACTGTAGGTCTACCCCAGTGTAGTATAAGCTATGATTATGCCTTGTCCATTTTTTAGCTGTCTGCTCCCAACCCCCACTCTTTCTTTCATAGCTTTGCCACACTGGGGCAGGACTATGCAAATGTTTCTCTTCCACCAGTGTCATTAGGTTTGTCAGTAGAGGGCGCTGGAGGGACACCATCAGAGAACGGCTTTTTGTTTGGGTTCTGGGGCTTCCCTTCTTGCTGGGTGCAGTGTCCATGGAGACCTGGTACTGCACAGTTTCTGGTAAGTTATTACCAGAAAGTTGCATCGACAGAGCTTCCCCTTCGCTCCAGTTGGAAGCCTCCCAAAGCACCATCCAGTGGGCTACAGACACATCTTTCCAGTATAGCACATCTCTTCTTTGAGAGGATGCTGATTTTAAGTTTATTCCTTTCTTGAGTTCCTTCCTCTCTTCAGCCCTGGGAATAGTAGCTGCTCGTTGCACCTGCCTTTCCAGTATACCTGAGGGATTGCTTTACCTCTCTTAGCCATTAAAATCTCCCTGTTCTTATTATTGATGTGAATACTGTCTCCTGCTTGAACGCTGACTCATATGAGGGTAGACAGTAAATGATTAATGAGTGGATGTGTTAGTGCACCATCAAGGATAGATGCTTCTACTTCCTGGTCCTGCGTTTGAGCATGGCACTGGGTGATTTCTGCCCTCTCAGATTTGCCCCAGAGGTCCAAGTGTCATGCACACTTCCAAGTGATCTTAATCCCCATCTCTCTTTTTCACTCAGTTAACTATTGCATGGCATTCTGGTAGTGCTGCATTTTTATTTCATTTGCCCTCTCTTCACAGACTTCCTGGAGCATTTATAGCGTCAGGAAAAGCCTGGCCTGTTCTAAAATCCACACCACTGTCCAGTTCTTAATGCAGGTATTGTTTCAAGCGTGTCATTATTTTCCTATTCATCTCCACAGGAAATGACTGGATGCTTAACACAGTTGGTATCCCCAAGCTCTAAAAGTCCTGGCTTTTCACCTCACACAGAAGTTGGTCTACAAGAACATTCCCCACACCTGCTTCAGAGACAAAAGCGTTTTGGCTAAGGCATGTGGGTAAGAGAATCTAACATCTTATGTATCTCTGAGCCAGACTATATACATTGTTTTCCCATGACAGGAAAATATGAAAATCACAATGAAGTCTATTTCTGTACAAATTGCCTTTCTATATTCACATCCTCAAACACTTGGACCAAGCGAATCAGTTCCTTAAACCGAATAGAGTTCCCAGCAGGGAGGACCCAACCCTTCATTAAGGCTGGAAGAAAAGTGCAGCTAGGACAGGGTGAGGTTTTGCTTGTTTATGTTATAAAGCGGACACCAGTGTTTAGCTGCTGCTTGTGTAAATTTAGCCTGTGTGGTGTGATGGGGTAGGAGGAGGAAGTAATTTGGGAAATACCTCCTCCCCACATCACAAACATGCATACCCCATCAGAAGACCCCCAAATTAGGTCCTGTAATATGCGATTGGATGAAGCAAACCCCTGCCTGGCTCCAGGCAGTGGGTGACCTCATTTCTTGTTTTAACAAGCAGGGTGTAAAGGTAACAGTGTAATATGTCATGGTCACCATGTTAGTTGCAAAGTGGAACCGATGCTTCAGTGAGATTCTAGCAGTCACCTAGCACAGTTTGCCCAAACTTGAGGGAAGGTTAGAGTTAGCATGCCTGCCTGGTGTCACCTGCCATGCCTCCTGCTCTGGCTGAAATTTAGAAGAAAGTTTTATGTGCAATGGCAAAAAGAGGTTCCATCCAGAGAACAGAGGACAGGCTTGGGAAGGGGATTATGCCATTTTAATGGTTGTGAAAGAAATTACCACTAGTGCTTTTGAGATGGGGAATACATAGGTTTGCTTCACAGTTCATTTGGCCTTGAATCTCTGTATAGTGTCTTTACTGCTCCTAACAACTTTTGTGGGCTGGGGAGGTGACTGAAGTGGTTAAAGTGTTTGCAGTGCAAGCATAAGGATGGAGTTGGAATCCCCAGGGCATATGTAGATGCCAGATGAGTAGATGGTCCACTTGCAATAAATCCAGTTTCAGAAGGTAATAAGCCAACTAGCAGAAGTAGCTATATCAGCGAACTGGGTTGATTGAGAGACCTTGTCTCAATAACTAAGGTGCAGTGGTGATGGAGAATGATTTCCAACAACAACCTTGGGTCTTTGTATGTATGCCCACACACATGTGAATGCAATACCCCCACAGGCACAGGTATGTCCATATACATCCAAAACATGCATACACACATGAAATCACACATACACGTACAGAAATGGAAAAAGAAAAAGTAAATTTGTGAAAAGCACAAACACACTCTTTTGCCGCTGTTGGATGGACCGCTATTACTATGGTAGCCAGTATGACAAGACTCTCCCTGTGCTGTGGGCCTGTGAGTTCTTTCCCCAGTCCCTCCGCAAGTAGGAATTCCCATTATATAAGCATCAAAAGTGACGGCATCATTTCTGTTTTGATCTTTGTAGTCACATGATCACCTGAGAGGGGCAGTCTCAGCTCTCCTCACCCCTCACAGAGTTGCCAAAATAGAAATTTTGACTCCATGTACAGACTACATTGTGTCAGCAGTGGCGTTTGCCTCATTATTGAGACATGTTGGCAGGTTTGTGTGTGTGTGTGTGTGTGTGTGTGTGTGTGTGTGTGTGTGTGTGTGTGTTTTGGGTAGATAAGAGTTGAGAAGATCATTTCCATAAATTGATATTCGAAGGCCCTAGGTTTATAACTTTTCCTGGCCCGATTCATCTTACACAATTCATAGAAATGATGATGAAATAGAACTCTAGAGAGGTAAAGACTAAGAGTCAGGGAGGGGATGACCTTAAGATCCAAAGTGCGAGAATTCTCAAGGAAGAGGGAGTAGGCCTGAGTCTCCAGGATTCCCACAGCAGATATGGGCTGAACCTGTCTTGGAGGCCACAGCAGATGCGCCGGGCATCTCATCATTTTGTGTCATTCATGGCTCAGAGAACTCACCAAGCTTTGGAACAGATGGCGCCTGTATCACAGGATGTTCCCTTGTCCTATTTATTCAGGGATGAACCACGTCTTTGTAAACACTGCAGTCATAGCGCAGAATCATAATTGGGCCTCTTCATCTTTGGAAAGGGGAATGGTTGCTTTAAGCTAGCGCTTTTCAAACTGTGGTTGTGACCCATTAAAGTGTGGTCTGGAATTGAGCTATGCTTGACCTTTTAGTTCACAGAAAGAACACAATGTACCCCACATTTTTTTGTGAAATTGTGTTTCAGCCTGGTGTATGTGTAAGGATTTCCATGTTCTGGGTTATAATGCTGGGGGGGGGGTGCTCTGAAAAACTCTAAAGTACCACTTAAGACAACATACAACACTCTTAACACTCTTATTCTTGTTGTTATTACTGGGGGCATGCATGCCATGGTGCACTTGTGGAGGTCAGAGGGCAGCCCTGTAGAGTGGATTCTCTCCTTCCACCTTTACATGGGCTCTGGATCAGACTGGGGTTGCCAGCCTTGCCAACAGCACCATGAACTCCTGAGTCACCTTACTTGATGCACCATACTTGATGCAGCAGCAGGAGGAGGAGGAGGAGTACTGACTGTAATTACAGAGGGAGTGCAGGCTGCCTATCTGTTTTGCATTTTTTTTTTTTTTTTTTTTTTTTTTTTTTTTGGTGCTGGAGATTGAACCCAGGGCTCTGATCTGCTTGGGAAAGCTCTCTCCACTCAGCTATACTCCAGCCCTGTCCAGCTATTTTTCCCAGTGGTCCATGTGAGAGAGACAGACAGAAAGAGAGACAGAGACAGAGAGGGAGGGAGAGCGACAGAGAGACAGAGAGAGAATTTACGAGACAGACAGCACTTGAAAGCATTAACTCTGCAGTATGCTAGGCAGCCGAGTGCTTATTCTTAATTCTCACAACGTATCTTAATACAAAGTCCTTGGACACTGACCTACAAGTTTGAATACATCCTTAGTTTTCCAGTTTATAATATCTTTGCCTAAGCAGAAGCCTGTCAACTTGACAATGGCTGCGTGATCTCACATACTGTGTACAAGGAAGAAAAAGCCCTTGAGTCATTAATAGGGCTTGCAAGTTTCTAGATTATTCTTCTTCCAGAGTCCTCAAAAGTCCCTCATATTGCCTTGTTTCCAAACCTTAGCTTTTCTCATTCACCTTTGGTGTCTCTTATCTAATAGTAAGATGACTGTAGAAAATGATGCAGCTGACTCTCTGAGAGGCTGGATGTCACCTCAAAGATGCCCAATGTCCTTCCACAGGGAGATGCTCAGAAACCGGAGACATGTCATCCTTTAACATAAACATTTATTACTTTCTATAAGGTGCAGAGTGTGATACAGTAGGGGGTAGGGTAAACAATGTCAGGCATCTTCATCAGAGCCTGCTCTGCAGCCAGGGACTGTGGTTACTTTAGGCAGTGTTTTCTGCAGAGCTGAGGACTTGGGCTTCACTGCCTTCAATGCAAAGCAGGGGCCTCATCTTCAGTGGCAGCTGATGTACCAGTTAGTTTTTGTATGGACACACTGTTGGCCATTGGGGGAAACGCCCAGAACCATTTCTGGTATGTTACTGTCAAAAGCCCATATGCTTCTCATACTTTGTAGGGAGTGTTGAAGGCCTTGTCACAGCCTGCTTGGAACTGAGTGCATGTGAGAGGCACGTGACAAGCAGATGGCTTCGAGGCTTAGTTTATGGAAGGGAGTGCACAACCGAATGTTCCCAAGTCAATGTTCCAAACAGCACAGGGATGGGCTTACTGCTCCCTTTCTGCAAGATCCAACAGTTCTTTTCCTGATTTGAAACTAGTCCACCCCCATGAGGCAGACATATTGAAAGTCTTGGGTTTACTTTGTTAAGCTTGTCCCCTGTCACTTTGTTTGTGGTTATATATCATTGGGGACTTCTAGAACATACTGTTGACTCATTGATTCAGTAGGAAATCTATGCAGTCTGGGGTTTTACTTGACTGAAAGAAATGAATCCATAACATTTCTCTTCATAAATACACACCCTGGGAGAGGATACCAGACAGACATGATCCTCAGGGGCCACTATCCAATGCCTGACATGCACTGGGCCTGCACTATCTATTGAGCAAATACATGGATGGTGTCTTGATTGATTGTTGAGGCCACAATGCATAGCTGTGCTTTGATTCTGTCAAGTCACAGATGCTATCTCATCAATGTGCAGTGGTTTTTAATTTGTCTTGGCCAATGTTACACTGGAGTTTGGTTTATATAATAAAATCTACTCACTATTCTAAATATCATAGATTTCTTCTCTCTCTGTTCACTTTTACTGACAAAAATCTTCAAATCATCATACAAAGACATGATAAACCATACTGTATCATTCCCAGTGTGCCTGAGATTTACTAAAACAAAACAGAATCATATTATCCAAATTATAGACTAAAACATAGTTACGAATCATGCTATTGTAAAAAAGCAAAACATTGTTGTTATTATTATTACTTTTAAAGACAGGGTCTCTCTATATACCCCTGGCTGTCCTATAAGTTGCTGTGTAGACCAGGCTGGATCAGTCTTACAGACATCCTCCTGAGTACTGAGAGTAAAGGTGTGCGCCACCACACCTGGCCAAACGTTACTATTAACCATGTTGTCAAGTAACTCAGTTCAGTTCCTCCATTAGCACTTTGAAGAGTTTTATCACCTGTCTTCCATCCTAAATATGACAGCATAGTTAGAAGGAATTTTTTTCCTTAGGGGATAATTCCTTCAGATCTTTATCAAACAAGTGAACACTGTCATTGATTCTGATTCACGGCCACCATATCATTGCTTTAGATGAAAACAAACAAACAAACTAATGGTGTGCATGACTGAATGTGGATTTATATGCATGTGCCTGCAGTACCCCTGGAGGCCAGAAGGGGGATACCAGGTCCCTGGGGGTGGAGTTAGAATCAGGTGTGAGCATAGAGATGTGAGTGCTGGGAACTGAATTCCTATCCTTTGCTGGAGCAGTATGCTCTCTGAAGCACTAAGCCATCTCACCAGCCCCTAGATACCTGTCTTTAAAGCACAGTAGAAGACAAAGAAGGTAAGTCTCATGAGTAAATGTAGTGTGTTAGATACTAAGTAGCATATATCTGCTATGCAGTTATTATCAGTCTCTGTGGCTGAATGAGAATCCATTTAGTTCCTTCAAGCTGTGTAAAATGCAACAAAAGCATAAATTCTCACAGTCTATGGAAATGGCGTATAAAAGGCCTTCTCGTGGCATTTGTGTCATATGCCGGAGATGAATAGTGTTTCTAGTTTGCTGGCCACTTGGGCCAAGTTTACTTTAAGAGGAGACTTGTTTGGAGAAATAATGGTAACAGAAATAGTCTCTTGGGAGAAGCTATTGGTGAGGTTTAACACTTTTTTGAAGTATGCTTTCTGTGTCTTCTAAGTGGGCATTTAATAGGCACTGGGCCAAAGTGCCTTAAAACCATGCCTAATTATGGTGGACACTGCCTGAATGTTCAGGGACACCCGGGCAGTGGAGGCAGAGGGGAGTGAGGTTCGAGCAATCTTTGTTTGAATAACGTTGTCTGTTCTTGAAAGCCTGGTCAGAAAGCCAGCAGCATCAGCAGGACCTGGGAACCCTTTCAAAATATAGAACTCCCGCACCAGCCCTGTCAAATCAGGTTTTATATTCAAACCAGATCCTCAGATGATCTGTATCATGTACGATTTGGGGGCCATCATACTGGGACTCCAAAGCCCCTGTCTCTTGTGGTCAGGCACACTATCATGGCTTCACTTTCTCTTTCCTTCTCCTCATGTCTAGCATCCTTGGTAGAGGCTAGCAGCCACAGCTGAAAGTACCCTCCCTTTCTCGCTGCTCCTACACCCACTCTCTTGAACCTAGGTCACTGTGCTGACTGTTATCAAGAAACCATTTCCGGGGCTCATCCTGACAGTAATGTTTCCTTGGTAACTTGGTAATGACTGCTGGGCTGAGCCTTGCCTTCTTACTCTATGCTGAGATCCCATGCTTCTAGGATGTCCATGGGAATGCCACCCTCTTTTGATTTTTAAGTCCTGTCTGTGCAATGGGTGGGCATAGGGGCGGGAGCGGGGGGGGGTTTCTACCTCTATCATGAAATTCCTCCAGTCTCACTATCGTTTTCTTTACTAATATTTGTGGGGTGCTGGTAGGGGGAAGGGTAGACCTGCTAGGTGCCTGGGGTACTCAAACCAGGGCTTACTCGGTAGGGGAAAAGGCATGGAGCTACCAAGGACCAACTTCTCAGACCCCTCTGGATGCTTCACATGGCCCCATCTTTGTGTTGTGAGGTCCAGCCTGTAGCAGGTGCCCTGAGGCAACTGGATATCCAAACCCAGACCTAGACTGACCAGCCAGTTGACCCCATAGAAGCAATTTGGTCCTTCTGTTCCAAACTGTGCTGGTGGGGAAAGGGCTCAGCAGAAAGGTGAACTGGCTATTTAGAAGCACTGCTTACAAATTCAGGCTCTGTGGGCTGGGGGTTAGCGCAGCCAATGGTCAAGGGAACATTTTAGGGTCAACCAAAATAGGGAGCACCCAGACCGATCCCTCTAGTCGGAAGATACCGGCAGGGGGAGAAACAAGATTGCTTTCTGGCCGTAGTGAGTCCGAGGACCACGCTTGCAGCTCCCATTTTTCTTGAGGCCCACAAACCAGTTCTTCTCTGCGTGCTTCTTGGATGTATAAGTGTTGTAATGGTTTTCTTCCAGCCTTTCCAGGAACAGGCACTCTTCATTTGGTGTCTGCTAAAAGGATAAAAACCAAAGGGTGCAGAACAATTAGTGAGTGGTTTGAAATAATGTTCCTCTTTTGTTCACTATCTGTGTGAAAATCTCAAATTCCTTCCCGCACTGGTGGTTTTCATTAAAAGGCTGAGATTTTTCCCTCAGTATTGTTATGAATACGAATACTTGTGTAAAATTTGCTTTGCGAATAAAGACATACACTGGAGCCTCAGTGCATTTCTGTTGCTGTTTTGAGACAGGCTTTGAACTCCTGATCCTCTTCTACCTGCCTTCCATGGGCTTGTGCACCATGCCTGGTCACTTAGAAAAAGAAAATAATATTACTTATTTTAGTTGTTTTGTTATTTTTGAGAATTACACTCTTTTAATTTTTTTATTGTGTGTGCCTATGTGTGTGTGTGTGCACACGCACAAGTGTGTACATGTGTGTATATGTGTGTGCATGTGTGTGTGTCCATATACTTAGGTGCACTCACATTACCCACTCGTGTGGAGGTCAGAAGACAGTTTGTGTGAGTCAGGTGTACATGTGGGTCCTGGGGACTGAATTCAAGTTTTCAGGCTTGATGGCTGCCTCCTTCAGCCATGGAGTCATCCAGCCAGGTCATGACTTGTACTCTTAAGAAAACCATAAGGGAGTCATGAGGTGAGGGCTCAGCAGATAAAAGCATTTGCCACCAAACCCATTACTTGAGTTTGAGTCCAAGGACCCAAGTGATGGAGAACCAACCTCCACCAGTTGTCATCTGTCTTTCACACTTGTGCCATGCCACACTTCTCTCCCTGTTCTGCCTCCTGCACCACAGCACAAGTAATAAATATATAGTAAAATAAAAATCAAGTCAAATCACAGCTTTAGTTAAAAAAGGAAGAACCTCAAAGCCCATTCCTCCACATAGGCAACCATAGGCATTTGTTGGTTGGTTGATTTGGACAGAGCCAGAGATTAAATGTAGGATCTTGTATGTTCCAGGCAAATGGTCTAGCACAGAACTATGTTCCCAACTCTAGACAACTGTTAACAGTTCACAATACTCTCCTCTATCTCTTCATATACATGTAGAATGTATAAGTCTCTGGATATAGATTCGTTAGCTATCAAGGTCATAGTCTACTTATTTGCTCTTCTTCCTTCCTTCCTTCCTGAGATAGGGTTTTCTTGTCTTACAGCCCTGGCTGTCCTGGAACTAGCTTTGTAGACCAGGCTGGCCTCAAACTCACAGAGATCAACCTGCCTCAGCCTCTTAAGTATTGGGATTAAAGGTGCACATCGCCACCTTATCTGATGTTATTGTTGGGCAATAAACTAATGAAAGTATATTCATTATTCCTACCAAGGAATCATTTGTTAGTTAGGATATCTTTCTTGATATAGGTATAGGCTTGATGATAGGTATCAAAATCTGAAACACCCTCTCTCTGTGTCTCTCTACCCCCTCTCCTTGCTTCTTTTTTCCAGTACTGGGACTTAAGTCCTCCCACATGCTAGGTAAACTCCTCCATCCCTAAAACATGTATGATCTTTGATACAGCACTTTCCCTTCTAGGACTTTACTATTAGGGGGCAGTTGAATGAATATGAAGTCCTATGTTGAGGGTGGGGTTTGAAGTATTGGCTATTGAGGCAATACAATGGAAGATGTCTATGGCAAAGTAATCATTGGAGGGGATAAAGTTCCTTGCTCATAGCAGAACCCAGTACAGCTGTAGACTTATTAAAATATTGAAATAGCTTCAGGAGTCGCTGGATACCATTCAGACATGACCAAGTCCAAGAACCACACCACACACAACCAGTCCCAGAAATGGCACAGAAATGGCATCAAGAAACCCCGATCACAAAGATATGAATCTCTTAAGGGGGTTGACCCCAAGTTCCTGAGGAACATGTGCTTTGCCAAGAAACACAAGAAAGGCCTGAAGAAGTTGCAAGCAAACAATTCAAAGGCAATGAGTACACGTGCAGAGGCCATCAAGGCCCTTGTGAAGCCCAAGGTGGTAAAACCCAAGATGCCAAAGGGTTCCAGCTGCAAACTCAGATGTCTTGCTTTCATTGTTCACCCCAAACTTGGGAAGAAGATTAGAAGCTACATGGTCAAGGTTCATAGGCTCTGCCAACCAAAGCCCAAGGTTCAAACCAAGGCAGAGGCCTCTGCTCCAGCTAAGGCCCAGGCTGTAGCTCCAGCTCAGGCTCCCAAAGGCACCCAGGCTCCTGTGAAGGCCCCATAGAAAAGGTGTCTGCCACCATGAAGACAGATGGACTGGTGTGATACATCTTCACACTCTGCAGATGACCTGTGCCCTATGCTGTTTTTACAAATAAACTTGAGGCAAGACCTGTTTTAAAATAGAAAAGAAAAGAAATAGCCCAAGCATATTGATAATGTGGTTCCTTGGAAAATGTCTGTCAGCTGATATTTTACCTGCAATTCTTCTATTAAAAGGGAAAGAAGTCATCAGTGTTTCAAATTTCTATTAGGGCAGATTTTGGAATGCATGTACTTTATTTGAATTAAAGGAAACTCTTATGCTATATATACACTCTGTCCTTTTGATGACCTTGTCTATTGGACTGTGCCTTTTTCCAAGTCATATGATTCTTATGTACTCTCTTCAACCACAGTTGAGTTGTGATTTCCTCTCTCATGGTTTTTAATCAGATCATTCATTGTTCTTTACATATGGACATGTTTGTTTTATTAGGGTATAAGACCTACCAAGCAGAGAGATGGGATCTTGTTAGCCTTTATGGTCTTGTATCTCCCCTTAGACACAGCTTTGCAGATGATGGCTCTTCACTATCTAGTGAGTGGGTAAATGGATTCTTTTTTCTTCCTGCTTGGGTAGGAGCCAGATTCCTGCTAAGCAAACAGTTTACCATGGAGCTACATCCCGGCCCCAGAGTTAGCTTTTATTAGGAAGGAGCTATGCAACAGGAAGTGTTCAGCTTCTTATTCATTTATAGTCTAGGGAAATGACACCTGGGTGAGACATTGTGGATCCTTCTGGAACAAAATAGGATATAAATACAGTATTTAATTGAATGGCTCTGCCTCTGAGGGAACTTTGTTCAGACACTGGTACTGGGCCACATTGTGGAGACAGCAGGAAGGAGGTGGTTTTAGACAGTGTGAGTTGTCATGACCCTATAGTAGGCTCACTCCATGATGGCCCTCAGTGGTTGTTGGGACTGTGTTCAGTGATGAAGGTGGGGTTGGTCCTGCTCCCCACCTGTTGGTCTTTGTCACACTGGTGCAGCCAATGTTCAGAGTGGCTGAGTCATGGCTGAGGTGGCCAGCCATCTCAGAGGTACTGCATCTGTCAGCCAGGCTTTGTGTGTACTCGCTATACACTTGGCACAGTGCTGGGGATGTGTTCCTCAGCTCTTGATTCATGCCTATTGTTGTGGTTGTTGCTATTTTCATATTTAGCGTGCTTTCCCCCAGTTACTTAGGTGAATACACTCATTGTAGACAATTTGGAAAATGCAGGAAGCTGTTAGTATATTATAAACCCACCCACTTACTACCCCTGTAGGTAATGATATTAATATTTTGTTATACAGTGTTTCAAACCACATTTTTCAAAATAAAAATATCCCTTCTACACAGATCACAAATCTGAATTAGAATGAATGAATTCCTAAAATTTGCTTAGAACATGAGACAGAGATTTTAGCTGTGGTAGAATGTTTCTTTGTCAGTGTGGTATATGCAAAGATTTTAGGACACGCTAAGATCTTATTTAGGTGAGCTAGAATGATGGCCATGGTTGATGTAGGAGAAGGTTTTTTCTGGAGCCTTGGGAACACTGATTTTAGGCAGTGTTCTCTCAACATTTGTCTGTAAGTGCAAACTATTAGAATAAATGTCAAAATTAACTTCAAATGGAAAAAGCTTTAAGACCTTGCCACAATCTCTAACACACAGTGAGTATGTGGGGCTCACAAGCTGATTGTCTTAGAGGTGTCACCAGTGTTGTGTCTCCCAGGTGCCAGAAACTGGTGAGCAAGTTCTATGTGCTGTCTTCTTGGACAGTCTTGAGCCTATGTGAGGTAGGTATTGTCTGTTGCTATAGACAAGGCTCACGGTGGACAAATGACTTGATAGAGTAGGAGAGTCACAAGCTTCATTTGAGAGTCTAAGATGGCATTTGGTTGACTTATTTGATGGGAAGGACTGCCTTGAAGTCCATTTCCTGTGCAGCAATCACTGCCCAACTCCAATCACCTCAAGTCCTTTCCCATTACAGCATTCAATCTTCTGCCCTCTAGTGGACAGTGGGAGAGCTGCATTGTCCTCACCCAGCAGGTTTCCTTGGTCTATACTGGTTGGCAATTTGATACCACTGAAGTCATTCCAGACTAAACCTGCCTTCCAGACTGCCTTTTTTGTGGGCATCATCTTCCCAAAAGGGAAGGATTGGTTCACAAATTACAGGCAAGATTCTGTAAGTGCTCGGATGCAGAGAAGGGGGTCACTGACTCCAAAGCATTGTAAGTTGGTTTTAACATTTTAGGGGTCCCGAAACAGGAGAGATTTTCTTCAAATTCTAATACAATTTATTTTTTTAAACATTAAGCTACTAACTAAATGTTAAAACTAAGTTTGATTTTTTAAAAAAAAAAACATTAAGAGGTGGGAGAAGTAACATACTCAATAAACCTAACTTCAGTTTCCAGTGCCTACATTAAATAAATAAATAAATAAATAAATAAATAAAGTTAGGCTTGGTGGTGTGAGTTTGTCTTAGCACTGGGTATTGGAAGACAGGCAGACCCCCGGGGTTTTCTAGCTAGCCAGCCTCGTCTACTTGGCAAATTCAAGGCTAGTGGGGGAGCCTGTCTTTTTCTCCCCTAAGGTCGACAGCACCTGAGGACTGGTACCCAAGGTTGTTCTCTGGCCCTCAGACATTTCTGCACACACAGGTGCATCACCATACACAGGCAGACCATTAAGAGATACACAGTTCTCACTTAACACAGGAAACATTTTTTTTTTTTTGATTGAGTGAATAAAGCAGGATTAGGAATTCTGAAATGAGTGCCTGACAAGTTACCAAAGTACCAATCATCACTTCCTCTCTGCCTGTATGATAATTGGCTCCAATTTTGAGAGAATACCACAAGAAACTCTTTTATGTTTGTGCCTAAAATAAAGCAAGGTGGAGGGTGGGAATCACATTGGAAAAAATAACAAATGAAGACTAATTGATGGTGTTTCATTTGCATCACTCCATGTAACAAGACTTCTGGAAACCTCAAGCCTTGGCTGAGTCTGGAGGCGTCAGCCTCATACTTACCGAGCCGTATAAAAGGCCGTCCGTGTCCATGGCCAAGTACTGGCCCGTCTCCGTACCCTTTATATACACTTCGCCTGCGCTTTCCGCACTCAGCTGCAGCTGAACTGGAATGAAAATAACACAAGCGAAAGTCAACAAACTGCACTTTTGCCAATAGCCCTGCAGCCAGAACAGTCGGCCACGGAAAATTCTGCTTATTTGTTTTGTAGCACCCTGAAGATGAGCCTCCTGTGAATCAGAACGGTAGTTCCCTTTCCTTTCTGCTCCAGGGAGAGCTGTTCATGGGGAGTTACATTCCTGAGAAAAAGTGTGACAGAGGTTAGCTTGACAGCCCATCTACCCTGTGTGTGTACTCGCCCAGTTCCTCTGTCCTCTCCCTCTGTCACCTGAGGGGAAATAATTATGGGGAAAAGTGATACTGGTCTCCCTGATTCTGCTACCCCAGAGTTCTTGGAGCACTCTGTAGCAGGCAGCAGCAACAGCTTTAGCTGTTAACTTGTTGGATAGGGACACACTTTCAAAGGAGAGAGGGACGTGGTGGCAACTCATTAATGTTTTAAACCCAGAAAGTGTTCTTTTCCTAGAGAGGAGATAGTTCCAGGTAGTCAGGACTCATCCTCAATGAAATTCCGTGAACGCCACCACCTCCGGGCATCCCAAATGGGGCCCTGGTAGAGAGGAAGTGATCAGGAAGGGGAAGGGGTTTCCCATTTACCAATAAATGCAGGGACAAGAGCAATGCTGTCAGCTGGGGGCCATTTTTCCCCACCGGGGATGCCTGGAAAAGTCTGGGGATTGTCTGTGTCTTTACAACTGGAGGGGATGGAGAAGACTACTGGCACTAGTGGGCAGAGGTGAAGCATGTTCAAAGCATACTCCAATGCAGAGGGCAACCCCTAAAGGCCCCGGAACCCACACTGAGATGCCTTAGATGGCAGGCAAGGATTGCGAGTCACTTGAGACACATATCACCGTATGATCCTTCCAATGTGCTTGGGTAGTGATGAATGTACATTAGAGGCTAATACCCAATAGACAATTATCATTTTGTGTGTTCACCTATGAAGAGAGGCATGTTAATGGTTCATCCTTGGTAGCTAGAATTAATTCTAGACTCTTCTGAACAATTTCTTTAGTCTCTAGACCGTCACAACTGTCATTCTGACTTGGAGTGAGAGGGCCAGAATAAGTATAGAAAGATTAGTGGTGGTGATGGCCCAGGGAAGGGTCAAGATTGTGACAGGAAAAATATAGTTAAGAGGTATGTGGGGTGTTACTTTGCTTCTATTCGTAGTGAAATCAGGACTAGGATGGCAGCCCAATAAGCAGGGCTGGGTTAGAGGGCAGATTTCTCTGTGGGTACATTTAGACCCCTTCCACCCTCCCTCAGTACAGCGATGGATATGCAGCTTCAGTGGCTGAGATGCTGGCCCTCCCTTCCTGGACATAAACTTTATCCCGGGAGGTGGAAGCCCACAGAAAGCCACTCCTAGAGATGGTGCATGTGTCTTTTTCTAGAAAGAGCATATGCATGGGTCGCCAAGTCCATAGGGTCCCCTCTACAACAGTGTCGGTATTGTTTTTACATAGTTCTTCTTACAACTGTCAGTGACAGAAGAGTTAGCTTTTTTTTTTTTTGAGATTTTTTTTAAGTGTATGAGTGTTTGCCCTGCACGTGTGTCTGTGTTCCACTTGTGTATGGTGCTCATGGAGGCCAGAAGATGGAATCAGAACCTCTGGACTGGAGGTACAGACAGTTGTGAGCTGCCCTGTGGGTGCTGGGAATTGACAGGTCTGTGGGAGAGCAGCCCATGCCCTTCATTGCTGAGCCATCTCTCTGCCCTCTAGCTTGTTCTTCTTGCCAGTTGACTTGTGCTCATTCTGTAGCTATGTGTGTCCTTACTGTTGGCCACACCCTGACAGATGTGCTCATGTTTCCCCTTCCCCTCTGCTTTCCTCATCCTCCAGTTCACACAAGAGTGACACATAGTTACATCACCCTTAGACGATGCACCTCTCCATCCTCGGAAGTCTGCTGTAGAGACTCAAGGACCCCCCCCCCCAATTTCCTGTGGTGAGCCGAGTTTATTGAAATTACAGGAAGGGAGCTGGGAGCCTCTGAGAGGATGGTCGTGAGAAGTAGGCCAAAGGACGTCCAGGAGCTGCTCTCTCTCTCTAGCCTAAGGATAGTGTAACTTTCAGTGTGTGTGTGTGTGTGTGTGTGTGTGTGTGTGTGTGTGTGTGTGTGCGCATGCTTGAGTGTGCATGTGTACACGTGTGAGAGTGAGGAAAAGAGAACAACCATGGATGCTGTTCCTCGGGATCTATTCACCTTGTTTTTTTGAGATAGGGTCTCTCAGTTGGCCCGGAACTCTCTCACTTGTCCTGGAACTCACTGATGATGCTAGGCTGGCCAGTGAGCCTAGGAACCTGCCTGTCACCATCATTCCTAGCACTGGGATTGCAAACATGCGTCAATACACCCAGATTCTCCTCGTGCATTCTGGGAATGGATCCTGCATCCTCATACTAGCACGGCAAGCATTTTCCTGTCCGAGCTGTCTCCTCAGCCCTCATTCTCTCATACCTAAGGATCCTTGCTCATCTTATGACCTGGTCTGGCACCTTCCCCCAGATGTTTATAAGGTTCACTTTTTCCCTCCTTCAGGCCTCTGCCTAAATATCTTCTCAGAGAAGCCTGCTTAAGTGTCTGTAGCACTATGCCAGTGGGTTCTGTCTTCCGTTCCCTATTCCCTGCCTGTGCCTCCCTAGGGTCCATGCCTCCTTTCTCACACACTTGCTATTTCCATTCATACACTCAGCAAGCGATTATCTTACTACTTAAAGCTTTATCCAGGAAGCAGAAAGAAAGGAAGGGAAGGGAATTTTGCCTGTCTTGTGTTGACTCCTTGGGTCCCCAGTGTTTCCATGTACTACATACTGTCTGTTGAATGACTGTCATCAGGCTAATGTTGGCAAAGATGGTTCTGCCAAACCATCCCCAAGAAGCTGTGGCCTTTGAATTGTGCTCCCAACACATTCTCTGGAGTTAATGGGTTCAAGATGAGCTGGATAATGCTTGAGGCTGGCCTCTGTCCCCAACTAGTGGGATGACGTTGGCCAGGCTACTTAATGCATCTTGGTCACACGGATGGTGTTTAGGTTCTGTGTCTATCCAGTTCTCTCCAGATCTGATAGCCTGTGAAGCATGTGGCTAAGTATAATAGTGATGCTCTGGGGGAACAGAATGGCACGGTGTGTATGGAATACAAAGGAACACAGTTGTAGTACATGCTTTGTCTCTTGCTGCAGGGCTAGGTGAGGGCAAGTTCTTTCCTTCTGTGAAATCCCATCATGGCCTTGGAAAGTTCTCCCAGAGGTAAACAAAGCCAGGGTCTGCCTAGCACATGACTTCAGCCCTCAGCCAGGGACGGTATGCTGGTGAGAGTCGGCTCAAGAGTTTCCTCTATAAATATTATTTCTCCAGGATGTCCAAGTTTCGTAGCTCATTTTCACTGGGTTTCTTTCTGGCTGTGTTTCCTACACGTATATTTCTGCGAGCAGGGCTGGCAGGAAAACACAATGCCCAGCTTACACCGCTCATGTCGGTGACTGGGTGTCCAGCCTCTGGTGGGGCTGCAGACCATTCTAGTTCTGCAGACCTACACCCTTGCAGCTGCGCTACAGGGAACACTCAAGGGAGGAGCAAGTGTGACCTCAGAAAGAGGCAGGGGCTGCCACACAGCATGTTCATTTGTCCTGTGGCAGCAGAGCAGGGTCAGGGGTTGAAGGGGCAAGGCATGGGTGCTGATATTAGTGCTTAGTGCCAGAGGTGGTCCATGCATCCGGGGCTTACACAGGACTGGGGAGACAGACACACAAACCTATGACTGGGCAGCTCAACAGCAGAGGCCCTTTGTTTGAAGGCAAAAGTAGATAAAAGAGTAAAAGTACAATGAAATATTATCTCCCCCCCCCCCATTCAGTTATTCTGTCCCTTTCTCTGTCATCTCCCTACCTTTGTTCTTCTAGAGCAAAGCAGATGACATACAGCAAAGAAATTGTAGGGAAATAAGTAAATCCTTGCTGAGAAATTTGTAAGAAGCATGAGCCAGTGTGCCCAGAAGCTGCCCTGGGGAGGCTGAGAAGGTGCAGAGGCCTGGGGGCCGTAGGCAGAGGCCTGGGGGCCATAGGCAGAGGCCTGGGGGCCGTAGGCAGAGGGTCTCATTCTTCCTCATGCTCTCTCTGTTTCTGCAACCGTCTCTGGGTCCTGGGTTGATGGCATTTGCTGGTCTTTGGTCTGTATCTAGTGAATGTTTTTGTGTTTTGCTACACACATACGAGATGTTATGAAGTTTTCATCAAATAGTCACCATCTCCCACAATTCCTCCCGTTTCCCAGGGCTGGTAATGTTTTAAAGCTCTCTTCCTAGTCAAGGGGCAGACCCTCAGAGCTACTCAAGACTCTCACCCTTTTCCATTTTCCTTTCTTTGTTTCTCCTTCTTTCTTCTCTCCTGTCCTCCTTCTTTACTGTGTGTATATGAAGCATGTGAGGAAGGTTGCATGCATGCTATAAGGTCCTTATCATGTGTATGAAGTGTGTGTGTAAGGTTGCATGCATGCTGTAATGTCCTTACTGTGTGTCTATGAAATGTATGTGTAAGGTTGCATGCATGCTATGATGTCCTTACTGTGTATATATGAAATGTGTATGGAAGGTTGAATGCATGATATGATGTAAGCATGGAGGTCAGAGGACAGCTTTTTGGAATCAGTTCTTTCCTTCCAAAACCTTTACATAGGCTCTCTGAAAAACCAAACAAACTCAGGGTTTAGACTTGTAAGCAAATGCTTTACCCACCAAGTCACCTTGCTGGCCCCAAGACTCGATCTTGCTCCTGGTGACCTCTGATGTGGTCTGTGACTCAGTTCAGGCTTGAAAAGGGATCCTTAAGAGGTGAGTGTTCTTAAGACCCAGACGTACCAGGGGTGGGGTGCAGGATGGAATGGAGGGTCACAAAAGCTTCAACTTCTCCACCTTCAACACCCCCCACCAGGTGAGCACCCTGAGCAGAGAATGACGGCCTCACTGTGAGGGAGACC